GCCCCCATCCAACCACCCCTTCTCCCTGCCCCTGACTGCCCTCAGAACCCCTGCCCCTGACTGCCCCCCGTTGCCCCATCCAACCCCCTCTCTCCTTCCTGACTGCCCCTGCCCCCTTACTGCGCTGCCTGGAGCACCAGTGACTGGCGGCGCTACAGCCATGCCGCCTGGCTAGAGCCAGCCACGCACAGCGCAGCACAGAGACCAGGTCAGGCCGGGCTCTGCAGCTGCGCTGCCCCAGGAGCTCGCAGTCCCACAGCCCAGAGCATTGCGCCGGCAGCGGGGCGAGCTGAGGCTGCAGGGGGAGGGGAGGGGCCGGGGCTAGCCTCCTGGGCCAGGATCTCAGGGGCCGGGCAGGAGGGTCCCGCGGGCCAGATGTGGCTCACGGGCCGTAGTTTGCCCACCTCTGACCTAAGCGAATTAGGAGCAGAAACCCCATTGAAAATCATGGGAACTTGTATTCCTCATTCATAGATTTTAGGGCCAGAAGAAACCAACATGATCAGTTAGTCTGACCTGCATTACACAGCCCAGATATTTTCCCCCAGTTATTCCTGTGTCAAGCCCATAACACCCGTATGAGCTAGAACACATCTTTAGAGAGATACCCAGTCTGGATTTAAATAATTAAGCACATGTGAAAATCCCACCCTTGAGCCACAGAAACAACCATGTGTCTTCATGTCCTTACTACAAAATTGAAGAGGTTCAGCTGTTCCTTTTCTCTTACATGTTTTACCTGATGCCTTTATTACGTGGCATTGTCAGTACTCACGTTGAGGGTAACGGGTCACTTCTATCCAAAGAAGACAAGACTTTTTAAAATGACTTTTGGTGTGAATTTTTTCATGCTTCATATTATCCCACATTAAACAAAACAACAGCAGCAAAAATCCTAAATAACTCCCCCCCCACCACACACACACACAAAGCCAACAAACAAAGACCATTACAAGGATCCACATTTGCACAAAAGATATTAATTGGTGGAGAGGGAGAATGTGACTTACTAAGTTCTGCTACAAGTTTCTCTGAAAAGGAAACCAAAAGAGATATGCATTATTGATCCTTGTGTATTACTTTTCCTTCTCCACAGTTAAAGGAGTGTGTTTTTCATTGGCAAAATGTATCCATGCCTCTCCACACTGTTAAAGCCACGCACAGGAATGAGGAATTTCCTTAAAACACTGCGTGAACACAGTTTGGGATTGTAAGGGAATTCCACGTTCCTCCTCGGCCCCTAACACCATCACATATATCCACCAAGAAGAAACACACTTTCATATGCCCCCTCTCCAGAGACCAATGGCTCAGCCTGGGCTGCCAGCAGCAGGTGGGAGACGAGGTCTTGCTTTGGGAGGGATGCACACAGGAGCAGCTCAAGGGCAGGAGAGGAGAAGGCAGAGAAGAAGCATTAGCACGTCTCTGCTTTCTCCATCCAATGAGCCTCCTCCGGTTTCCGGCAGGAAACCTCCTCTCTGATGAGCCCGCAGGCAGTAGGTCAGTGGAGAAGGAAGGAATGTTCGTACTTCTCCTGACTTCTCCCTCTGCAACCTAATCATCCCCTGGACCTTCCTTCTCCTCTTAGCCCCTTGCTTGAGCCCCATGTAGGGGATCCCAGGGAGAAAAGCCCACTTACCTCATGAGTCTTTGGATGCTTCCCCACTGGATTGAATAGGCTTCTCAGGGACCTCTCCCCCAGCCTAAACCGGCTCTTGAACCTTAATTGATCAGCAACATAACAACGAAACATTAACCGGGACTACGTTAAGTGAGGCGTTACTGTAGATGTGGTACATCACAGGGGTGGTGCTGGGAAAGGATTCTGATAGAATAACATGAAAAATAGGAACAAATATTTATTGCAAAATCAGGGATCTTCCTACCAGGTACTGAGCAACAGGGAAAAGTAAATTACACAAAGAAACGTAATAAGTATTTTGAAAAAACAAATCCCAAACAACCAATTCCCCACCTGGAAAAGCTTGTGATGTGATGGATGCTGGGAATATTTTATTCTGTGTGTCTCAATGGGATTTCCCAGTCACTCGCTTCATATTTATTTCATGTTGCTTTTACTGCTGTTATTGGCTCATTGGTCTACTTGAATAAATAGGGGACAGAAGGGCAGATCTTTAGCATCTCGCCAACGTTTCGTGTGTGCTTTCCCTTTATATCGCACCATTGCACGGCAGAGAAAAGATAGGCATCTGACCTATCTCAGCACCGCAGTTTTGCGCTCTCTCTGCCAAGGGCTAACAGCAGGGCACCCAGTGATTAGGCAGTTTGCACAGAGCATTTATTTAAGGACAAAAACCTTACAGAGAAAAAAGATCAATAAAACAATAACAAGTGGAAAGGCAGACTTCTGCTTTCCAGAGGTCCCGCATCAGTCCTATGGAGACCCTGCCAGGTTCTAGTCCTTCCACTCCTTCACAGGGTTTGACCTACCGATTAACGTCAGTTTGTTGGCTCAAAATGAGAGAGTCTGTTTAAACTCACCCTTTAGACCCCAAAATTTGTCCCCAAGCTCCTGAAGCAGGTAAAATCAGCCGGTGCCCCTGTCCCGGGGGCAAATCCTTAAAGGCTGGGAATCTGTGTAACCAACCATAGGACTTTGCATTGATCTTCCCAGATTCCCAGAAAATCCACCCAGTGAGCCGGGAACAATTACCTGTAATACACATATTGATACATAGGTCTGTCAATATACTATGGGCCCATGTTGTCCAGCCCATCTGAATACAGTAGTCTCTGAAGTTTTCATACTTTTAAGCTCTGGCTCAAGCTCACAGATCACATTTATCAGGTGTCAAGTATCAGAGGGGTAGCCGTGTTAGTCTGAATCTGTAAAAAGCAACAGAGGGTCCTGTGGCACCTTTGAGACTAACAGAAGTATTGGGAGCATAAGCTTTCGTGGGTAAG